GTGCAATGGAATTTTGTGCAGAAACCTGCAGGGACTGTGCTATCAAGGCATGCCACGTGCATGGCTTATGGAGTTGCCAGGACCGTGCACACAGGCAGAGAAGGATCAAGGCAGGTGGTTTCTGATGGAGCTTCTTGCCCCACTGAACTTCCTTCACAGCCCCTGGGGAATCATCTCAAGACATTACAGCTCTCACAGGCAGACTTGCATTGCCTCTTCACAGCTCTGGGACCACTGCCCTGACTGGACCAGAAAGCTAAACACAATCCTAACCTGAATACATGTCTAGGAAAGGAGTACATGTACTTAGGCAGGCATCTGGACCACTGAATTTACAGTTCCCAGAGCCTGGTGTGGCAAAGAGTGGGTCAAGGGGATGTTCCTGTATGTCATCTCCTGAAGTTCCTCAGGGTCTTGTGCAATGTAGACGTGTGTACACTTGGCAGGTGTGTGTGGCACTCTTTTCCCTGGACTGGGGGGCACGTGCACCAAGCCACTTCTGAAGCATGACTGTCCCATGTGTTTAAGAATGTGGTCTTCATCTGCTTGAAATGAATGCAGCACCACGTGTCCATCCTTTCCCAGTTGGCAGCAGGCTTGACATTAGCAACATGATGGTGCATCTGCTGAAGAAACTCTTTGCAGCAGTAGGAAAAGGAGGAAGTGATAATTAAAAGGAGTAATGGAAGTGTGAAGAGGTTGATCAGCGCATGGGGGGCAGCAGCAAGGACTACTTTCTTTAGTAGCCTTCCAAGAATGGCATGAAGCTGAAGAGGAGAGGAAGGCTTGCTGCCTTTGGTTTAGAGGAATGCTTATGTGGCACGACTATTTTTACAACATGAGATGCGCTTCAGGGTCTTTCAGGAGCTCTCAATATTTGAAAAATCTTTTTGTATGTAGCTTGTGTTGAGGGACTTGACACTGTTGAGATCCACACTGTTCAAGACGGTCAGGTTTGGAATTCATTTTTGGAGCATTTGGAGTGGAATTTCTGTTTTAATATCTTCTAAACAGAATTCTTCTGGCATGGACCAAAACTGAACTGCATTTTAAACCACTAGGGACAGATGGGTGATTTATCTCAGAACTGCACTACTTCTCCAAACCTGAACTGCTAATAGAGATATAGTATTTGTTTGGTGGCAGGGTAAAAACAAAACTGTGCTCACTAAGGCTTGCATTTGACGTAAGTGTAATTTAAGTCCAGATCTTCAAATCTGAAAACCTACTTCAGCCTCCTGTTATATCATTTTGTCTCAGGTCATTTTATTACCGAAGTGTCAAATATATTAAGGCAATAGAGCAGTCTTAAACTTTGAAGAAGTGCAGAGAAATAGCATGCTGGTAGGAAAATAGCAACTGTAAAATCTTGAGTGATAAAGTATGCTGTCTTAATGTAAACCATAAATGACAACTCACTGTAACAAACTGGATGGTTTCATGGCTTTTAACATTTTAATGAAATGTCACTACTCACTTTTTTTTTTTTCTTTTAGGAAAAATGATTGCTTGAATGTTTCGGGGTTTCCACATAAATCTTAGGGGAAAGTAAAACTGCTTTATGATGTTCCACAATCTTCCAAATAGTTGCAGATGGAAATAGTGTTTTATTCTGTAGGGCAAATGCTCACTGTCTGTGAGAAGGATGAAGGACAAGACAAAAGGAAAATCATAGCTATCCATGTATTGTATTGGGTTAATGCCTTTGGTGACATTGAACTCTACAGAGTGGGGAGGTTAAGTACAGTCAAGTAACTAGTGAGCTTGCCTGGAAGATGTGCTTTCTGCCTGCAAAATGCTACATATATTCTGCTTGAAATCTACCATGAATAAATTTTACTTAAAGAAAACTTCCGTATATGCAGTTCTCTTCACTGTCTCTAGCATACAGCCAAGTACCAAAGTTATGTAGCTCCTACACAGGCACTGGGAGTCTTCCATTACAAAATTACTAATTATCATCTTTAATTGATGCCTTTTCCATCCACAGGCAAACACTGCCTTTTTTCAGCATCAGTAATAATTATAAAAATAATGAATGTGTTGTCCATTGGGTTTAATTATTTATTTCTTACTATCCTTACTATTACTTATATGGGATATAGAATTACTAATTAAATATTAGTTTTGTTTCCTCTGGCCTTTTTGTCTACATGCTTAAGAGTCTCACAATCAGCAAAGATGAGGATTAGGTTTCTAAATCTTTTGAGATCAGTTGATATTTTCTCTCTGTTAAAATGATTTTTCAGATTTTAATGTTTTCACAGTGGGAAGTGGAAAAAGGAATTTGCCTTTGGAAGCAGAGTTGTTATCCATACCTACAGTTATTTTCACTGATCTTATCTAGAAATGAGTAAAGGACAGTGGTATGGCTATAAATTATAGCTGTATAGATGTCCAAGCCATGTTGATTTGTATTGGCACTTGACAGCACATTGATAGATAATAATAGGTCTAGAATTAAAAGATATTTTCTTCTGATAATCAATAATGTTTAATATGAGAGCTCTGTTATGAATGAATTGCATACATTATGTGTGTTTGAATCTTGGTATGTTGATGACTTTGCCTTATAAACATATTCTTTGTCTTGTGGCTGCAAATAACAGCAGGAATTTATGCATTGTTTATAAAAAAGGGAAGCTGTTCTTACCTTCTGATGGAAGCACGCATGCCTGGGGCTCCTATGTTTCCATTTTCTTAAATCCTCAGGCAGAGGTGTAGAAATATTATATGCATGGTTTGATTGTGAATGGGCTGTGCATTTAATGCAAACACAGCTCAGATGCATCTGGAGCTCTTGGGTGTTACTGTCTCATGTTGCAGAAAGTCTGGATGTGTGGTCCCACTAAGAGAGAAGCAGTGAAGTAATGCCATGCCACTCAGTAGTACATGCATGGGCTGGGTTCAAGGGATGGATGTACTTGCCCCATGATTTCTTGAGTGCGATCATAGAAGAAGGCGTATAAATGCCTGAAAATTACTGAAAGTAACATTGCTATTAGGATTTGAAATATCAAACTGGGATAAGGTTTTAAACAGAGAAAATGCAAATTTGATGAATAATATAAATTAAAATATTTCATAACTGATCTACCCTGCTGACTGGTGTATCCTTGAAAAAGAAGGTCCTTCCCTCCTGTCCTATTTACACAAGAGTGCCATAGGCTGTTCCCATTGCTTGCATTATTTTCTGGGTCACTGCAAACATCTCTTTTTGATTCGGCGGCTTGGAAGTGGTTATTTTCTGTTCTACAGGCAACATCCTCCTGCTGCTCTCAGAAGCTTGTCTCCCCTTTCCTTTCTCATCAGTCTGGTAGGAACCAAAGGGAAGAGTCTTTCACAAGTCTCAACTTTACTTAAAACCTATGTGATATAATGAATAAATAAAAAATAACACAGTGTAGGTAAGGTGTGACATACTCATATATGAGTAGATTCACATAGCATCAATAGTGAAAGAAATCAGAATCTCAAAATTTCTATTACTTACTGTGGTATTTTCTAGTGAGTGGCAACCTATCAAAGAAAGTGTTTTACTGGTGTGGATAAGAAGAGTTCCCATGAAAAACAGAGCAACTCCTTTACTCTGAACTTAGATTTATATGTGAATTTAGCTATCCCAAGAACTTCCCAGAGAATTTAACATTTTAGTCTTATCGTTACTGTAGAACTATGCAAACAAAGCACCAGCTCTTGTTACTTCTGATTGGACTCTGTAACCCTGCTTGTGGAATTCTCCAGCTTGTGACTTCCTGGGATGTTTCTACTTCTGTCCTGTTTTGTAACAGTTTTTTAACCTACTCTGTGTCTTCTCAGTCTACAGTTTTTCCTGTTAACCTATTAGCCAGTGTTTTGTACACAGCTCCATGCAGTTGTACCTCTTTACTTATACTCACAGAATCACGGAATGCCTGAGGTTGGAAGGGACCTCTGGAGGTCATCTCATCCAACTTCCCTGCTTAAGCAGGCCTCTTAGAGCAGGTTGCCTCTCTAAACTCTGATGTTTATTTAAAAAATTAAATGAGGTTGGCAAGTTTAGGTATTATCTGAGTGTCACACAACCGTCAGCCTCTTGAACTCCAGAAACCTCTGACAGTAAGTTAATTTGTTTGCTCTTGGGGAATTAGTAATTTGATTTTCCTTCAGAAGATGCCATATTCTATGCTGCTACAAGTGCACAGTGCTTGTCACAGGCTTCCCAGTTCACATTCTAAAAGAACTTACTAGGCACTGTCCTGGTGTACTAATGAAATAGTACATTATCACAAAAGTAGTATTGACTATACACTCTTGAGGTAATGAATATTTACCTCACAGTGATACGGATGACTGACATTGCTTCTGAGCTTCCAGATTTGTTTGTCAGTTCTTTGTTCCCATACACAGTCTATCTTCAGGCTTTTACATACAAGAAATTTGAAAATGAGAGGGAAAACATTTTCCTAAATCTAATTGTGTTTCTTTGAATTTGTACCTGCATTTGGCTCAGGGTATAAGACTTCTTGTCGTAAGTTCTGGGAAGTTTACTGCACTGCACTGGAGAAAATTGGAAAATTTATTTCACATTGATTTGTGTTCCAAATGTAGGTAGAACAGAAGTTGTGTGATGAAATGATTTGTTTATGCATATTTTTAAAAATTAAAATTTAGAAACATGAGCTGGATAAAGGAATGTATGGTTAGAGTGGCATTTAAAATTTGCAAAACTTTGCTATTAATTTTGGCTATAATTTTATAATAATAATAATTCACATATGTGAATTCAAAAAAAATGTGTTTCAAAACACATTGTTTCAAAAATATAAATTGTGTTTCAAAAAATATATATTGTCCTAAATGTATTGAACCTTGATTACATTGTTCATCAACTTTCTTTATCTTACTGGCTTGTTTCCTTAATGTCCTGCATCTATTGATTGTGTGAAGGTTGTTTTTCATGAGGCAATGTCAGATCTTGATAAGTTTTTAATATGTTGTAAACGTTTTGCCAGTACAGGTGTCCAAGCTAGCAGATGTCATGGTCAGACATGGTGTGAAGAAAGGAGGTCATGTTGTCATCTACATGCCCATGATTCCACAGAGTATACTGTAAGCTGGCTTGTGCAACAATAGGAGCCATCCATAGCCTGATTTTCGGTGGATTTGCCTCTAAAGAGCTTGTTGTTCACATAATCACACAAAGGTAATACATATTTAGAACAAATGCCATTGCATTAGTTATTTATTTAAACCAATGTCAAAAACATTTTTTTCCCTGAAAGGATAGCATTTCCTTTTGTGTGGCGCATACTCTCAATTTGCTTGTAACATGTAACATTGAAATGTGAACGAAGTACTTACTACTTGTGTGCTAAAGGTCGTATTTTGATAGCAGACATTGAAGTCCAGTTTTTCATTTCTTAAAAAATCATGAGTATTTTACATACTGTTGTCTGTTTAGACTTTCTTCTTTTTTGTCAGTCAGTCTCTACTAAGCATCTCTTTAAAATTTTGGCTTCTCACCCAACATTTTTCTCAAGTGTCAACAGTCTACATCATGCCAACCCTGTGACTTCATTGGTTTACCTGATGTTTGTACATGTTAAGTAGTAAGTTTTTCAGCTGTATCTACTTCTTCTAATTCATACAGGAATCAAGGCAGCCAGTGAGCTAATTGTCTGAAGTTAATGGCTCTGTAGAGAACACAGATAATAGAGGTGAATGCTTTAAAGGCTTCCAAGTTAGCACAAGTTAAACATGTTTATGAAGCATTATGTAAGTCTTTTTAAGTGAAAACACATATAATACTTTTAATAACCTGCTTAGTAGCTTTTATTGACATATTAATAGCTTGTGTATGTATATGTATACAGTGTTTGTACTTTAAGTTTTTGTTCTTGTTTTCTACCAATGAGCAAAACTCTGACATCTTGATCAGTCACTTGGATCATTCAGACCTTCTGCAGTAGCCATAACCACTGAATCATTTTGGCTAGACTTAGAATCCTTAGCTTAGAAGAAATGCTATACAGGGTAAAGTCTGCAGGATTTGTGGAACTTTTGCTGAGATTTTTTGTGTATAAGTGCTCTTCAGATCCCTAAAGTTTGAATTTTATGAATATCTGTAAATTGAAAGCACTTCTTTTAAAAAGTTGAATGCATTCCCCCTTTCCTGCAACCCCTGTTTTGTGTCTTAACAAAGCAGAAGTTAATAGAAGAGCTGAAGCACTTTGCTGGATTTATGAAAAGTAGCTGGAAGGAGACTAATGGAAGGTCCATTTTTTCCATGTCTTTCTTCCTGCTCCCTGACTTTTTCAACAAGCTGTAAAAATTAATTTTAACTCATAGAAGTTTTTGATTAGAAAAGTAATAGATTAGATTTTGATTAGAAAAAAAAATAAACTTTTAAAATGAAGGTTGTTACAATATGAATCATCTAGCATGTTTACTTTTAGACTATTTAGCAATTGCTAACTATTTAATCTCAGTAGAATTTCTCTGAGGGACAAAAAGAGACAGCACTGTAATCATAGTCTTTGCTTCATGCATTAAAAGGAAAACAGAGAAAATTTAAGTTATTTACAAAAGGTCACATAGCAGATCTTTTTAATGGTCAGCTATAGAATTGCTACCTGCAGGCCATGGATTAAATCTTAATTTATGTTGCCTTTTTCTCCTTTAAAAGGCAGAGCTAAATATTTTGTTTTATTTTTTGATCCATCTGATGAAAATGTAAGAAAAGAGGAGAGGCACATTATCAATCTAAATTTCAAGCCTTTCCCCAGTTATGCAATCCTGTAAAACTTTCTTGATAAATGAATTGCACACTACTGGATTATCTTTCAGATATGAATATAAGTAGCTGTGATAGAAAGTGTTCTCCTGAACTCAGATATTAATTGAAGCAGTCTCAGAACCCCCAGTATTTGTATCAGGCTTTTGTATGAATTAGGTACCACAGTACAGGGCTTAATTTTGGAAAGATTAACTAGAAAGAGTTAAAGACGTGAAATGGAAAGCTGGTTTTGAGGTGCTTTTTTGGAAGAAAGGTCAAACTTCAAGTTTTGTCAGAAGAGCTAAATAACAGACACTTTCTAGTGACTATGAAAAGCTACATATACTTTAACAGCTTGCCTTAATTTAACTTGAATTTTAAATAGGACTGGGAATGCTGCAGTGTCCTGCAGCTGATAATTTCTACTCTTGTCAGGTATTGGCAATGTTATAGACCTTCTATGGTGAATTGTGATGAAGTGATACAGTGTATGAGAAGAGGCATTTCTTCTAATCATTTATTTCATCTGAATTTGAGAATATGTAGTTTTCAATATCAAAACAGTATATACTTTTGAAGAATGTTAATTATATTTTGAGAAATTAACATGACATTTATTTAAGCACTTTATCTTAATACACTAGGAAGGCTGAGAAGGATGTTTTAAGAACAGTGCTTCTATGTTTATTTAATAAGGTAGTTGCTGTGCCTTTGACAGATTCTTTTTTTTTTTTTTTTTTTTTTTTGAATCACAATAATTATATAGCAATTCCAGAGGGCTTTTTAGACTTTAAGTCCTAACCCTGCAAGATAAATATGAGTAATGGAGTTTTTCAGACATGATTTTTGAAAGTTCTTCAGGCTAAAGCAGAATTATGATTTTCACATGAACAACAGTTCTTTGAAATGCAAAATATGAGAGACACCCAAGTTATTCAAAACTATCTTTTATTATCTTCCATTGAGGTCAGAAATACTGTATTCTTCACTTATTTACAGTTGATACAGTCAGGGATTTTAATAAGGCGTCCTTGAAAAAATGAGTTAATATTTTGTAATAGTTTATTCTGAATAAGACATAGTTCCTCTGCACAGATGTGGCTATAAATGGTTAAACCTACTTCTTGTCATAATGAGCACATACGGGACCATGGAGTGATCAAAAGCAGCCAGCATGGGTTTATGAAGGGTAGGTCCTGGATGACCAACTTGGTCTCCTTCTAAGATAAGGTGACCTGCTTAGTAGATGTGGGAAAGGTGGGAAAGGCTATGGATGTTGTTTACCTTGATTTTAGTGAGGCATTTGATGCCATTTTTCACAGTATTCTCCCGGAGAAATGCAGCCCACGTGTACAGTTTGCTGGGTGAAGGATTGGCTGGAGAGTCATAGTGAACAGAGTCCTGTCCAGATGGTGACTGGTCACCAGTGGCGTTCCCCAGGGCTCAGTACTGGGGCCAGTTTTGTTTAATATTTTTATCAATGTGTATGAGCGAATTGAGTGCACCCTCAGTACGTTTGTAAATGACACCAAGGTAGGCAGGAGTGTTGATCTGCTTGAGGGTAGGAAGGCTCTGCAGAGGGATCTGGATAGGCTGGACTGATGGGCTGAGTCCAATCACAAGATATTCAACAAGGCTAAGTGCTGGGTCCTGCACTTGGGTCATAACAACCCCATGCAGTGCTATAGGCTGGGGGAAGAGTGGTTAGGAAGTTGCCTGGAAGAAAAGGACCTGGGAGTGCTGGCTGACAGATAGCTGAACATGAGCCACAAGTTGCCCCAGGTGTCCAAGAAGGCCAATGGCATCCTGGCCTCAGAAATAGTGTGGCCAGCTGGACTGGGGAAGAGATTTTCCCTTTGTGCTTGGCACTGGTGGCGCTACAGCTCAAGTACTGTGTTCAGTTCTGGGCCCCTCACTACAAGAAGGACATTGAGGTGCTAGAGTGTGTGTAGAGAAGAGCAATGAAGCTGGTGAAGGGACTAGAAAATAGGGTTTATGTGGAGCAGCTGAAGGAACTGGGGAGTTTGGAGAAGAGAAGGCTGAGGGGAGACCTCATTGCTCTCTACAACTGCCTGAAAGGAGGTTGCAGTGAGGAGGGTGTCCATCTCTTTTCACAGATGAAAAGTGGTTGGATGTGAGGAAATGGACTTAAGTGGCATTAGGGGAGGTTTAGATTGGATATTAGGAAGAATTTTTTCATGGAGAGGGTGGTTATGTGTTGCAACGGGCTGCCCAGGGAAGTGGTGGAATCCCAGTTCCTGATGGTATTTAAGAGACATGGGGATGTGGCATTAAGGAACATGGTTTAGTGATGGGACTCAGTAGGTCATGTTAATGGTTGGTTGGACTTCGTGGTCTTGAAGGTCTTTTCCAGCCTAGATGATTGTATGATTAAGACTGCAGGCTCAGCTGCTAAAACTTAATTTCCTTATAATATTGGCAGTCCTGTCTTGTCTTGAAGCACTATTTATTTTTGTAATATGTTTTTAGAAATGTATTATAGATTAGAAGGCATTATCTTACTCTTTATTTTTTACTCGTATGGTATGATTGAGGTCTCTTTGTAGAGCAGTGTATACCTGATGGAAATAAATGTTCATGGCAGTCTGAAATGAATCATGTAACAACATAGCCAGAGCAGTATCAGCAGGTGCAGCAGAGTTATATAATGGTTGTATGAGCACTGGATTTCTTTAAAATGTGTGTCACTTTTCTTAAAGAGGAGGGAGGTGCAATGAAAGTGCAAGAAGTTTGAAGACAGGCTTGTAATCAGATGTGTGGCTGGGGCAAGAAATGGAAAGAGCTTTGTGTTGAATGGTTGGTTCGGTGCTTGAGTGCAGGATCTCTCTTTATATGTCTTCTTGTGTTTGCTTGTTTTCAGTTTAGGATTTCTGCAGCTTTCTGAGTTGGCCCACTAAAAGCATTTGTTGCTTCTTCTAAACCTTGCTTTGCATGCTGCTAGACACTATGGAAGAATTTGTAGAAGAAGCCTTTACAGAAGAATAAAATCGTTGGTCTAGTACTATTGGACTTTGCTTTATCTCACTTCTATTCCTTCATATTTTTTTTCTATAGCTCACTATTTCTGGCATTCCTTCTCCAGCAAATCTCAGAGCTTCTCTGCTTTTCCATCGTACTAGTTGTATTTCTATGTAATCTATCATGCAGGATTACATGGAGGCATGGAAGAGATGGGAAATGGATGTATAAAAACAATATGGGAGTGGAGGTACAGGGAAAATAATATTAGTAGACAGAGAGGTAAAACACTAGAAAACAACCAGTGATGAACCTTTGATTTGCACAGAGTGATCCATGATGTTTACAAGCATCACTTGGGAAATACATCAGCTTAGTCAATATAGTACTGGCTATATTTAGATTTCCTTGCTGCTTACAAAGTAGTTGATGAGCAGAGGGGTCACAATTTACAAATGACTGTAAACCTGGCATTGATAACAGTAATTCATTGTAACAATTGAATACAAACATGTTAATAACATATTAATTATATCTAATTCCAGGGTAACCTGATGATGAATTTTCATTTTAACTGCATTGTACTTTATCATCTTTTATCAAAATTGTTGCATCTCAAAAGGGAAAGATGACAAATGCTGAAATTTTAAAGCTCATCAGAAACCTTTACTTTGAGTATAAGCTAATTAGCAAACTTTCCTGAGTGGCAGATTTAAACAGGAAATATTTTGTTATTATTCAAAATAATCTTAAGAATAAATTGTAAGAAAACAGTCTGTGCTTTCTGTGTAAAGCTTAATACAACCTTAACTGTGGCATTGTGGTTTGTGCCTACCTAATGAGATTTATGCTAATGCATACATTTACTAAACTAGCTGGATCAAACTGAGATACACAAGATAAATATAATTCTAAAACTCCAAAAGCAAGGAGATTGAAGGCTTATTCTTCTAAAATTAAAATGTGTTCTAACATACTTTGGTGCTTTTTGTTTCCTGAAATACAAGAAATAAAAATACTGATCTTGGGACTTAAATCAGAATTGTTTGTATGCAGTGAAGTGACTTTTTTGCCTTAGGAAATCTTACATCAGCATCTTACTGAGGTTGATTTAATGAAAAATGTAATGGAAAAGCTGGAAATCTTCTAAATCCACATCTGGAAATAGAAATTATTCTAAAAAAAAAAAAAAAAAAAAAAAAAAAAAAAAAAAGCCAACAACAAAGCAGAACTACAGAAATTTGATTTTAACGGGATTTGCATCCTGAATCCTGCAGCCATCACTTGAAAGACTCTACATGTAGCTTAAATTCCCTTATGTGCTTTGTGACTTTAGCTTATTCTTTTCTGGTATTTCTAGTTTCTTGTCATCTCTTGTTTGTTTTCTTTTTCCTTTTTTCCCCTATTATTCCCATGTCATTAAACTGCAGGCTGAAAAAGAGCCACCAAAGTGCAATAGTTAGTTGGGTTCAGACAGGTAATTAGGAAGCAGGCTAACTAGGATAAATGATTGTTGGCATTGCTGTAGAGCTTTTCCTTAGTGGTGGGCTACATGGAGATGGCATTTTCTGTCTGATCTGTAAATTTTGTACAATTTACAAGATATTAATATTGTTGCTCGAATTTGGTTGAAAATGGTGAAGAGTGTCACTGTTATTAGAGTGCTGCAGAACAAAAAACAGATGCACAGACAGCAAGATCACACAAGCTTTGTTTCCTTAGAAAACTGGTCTAACCACTGGTTCTAATTATAAAAATATAGATTTTCTATATTGTGTTTCATCAACCAACTAATTGCATGGAAAACATGTTATTAGGTTACATATACTTTATAAAAATATATTGCAAATTGCAAATTAACAGTCTAACTTCTTCATTTTAGCCCAAACATATTGTAACAGCAAGTTTGGGATTTGAACCAAAAAGGAAAGTGGAATATATATCAATTCTAGGAGTTGCACTTGCAAGAGTACAGAACAAACCTGAGAAAGTTCTCGTTTACCAGCGACCTAACTTGCTGAGTGTACAGTTGCAGTGCCTTACTGTTAACTTGCAGATATATAAGTAGTCCATGTTTCTTCTGTCTTCTACAAGTAAAAATTTTTTATGTATGTGTTCTAGTTTGGTTTTGTATTTTATGGGGGAAACTTAAATGCTTAATATTTACATAGTAAATGGAACTAATTCTACTGTACAGAAAATTGAGTAGTTTTTTTTTTTGACCCATTTACATTTTATTCCATCTGTTTTTCTTTGAACTTTTTTCTGTTTTTCAATGGGCAGTGACATGTTCCTCTTTCCCCAGGTTGTGATCTTGACTGGGAAGAAGAGCTTTCAAAAGCACAATGTTATAAGTGTGTCTGTTCCTTCAGACCATCCATTTTATATTTTGAATACCGCTGGAACAACAGGCTTGCCCATGGTAAAGGACTATCTGTAGTCTAACTGTCTGTAACCTATTTGCAGTTCCACTTGAGGAAAATATTTAATTAAAAAGGTTGAAAATGTTTACCGGAGCTCACTGCTATAAATGATTAGCATTGGTAGGTATGCTTTAATCTCATTTATTCATATTTTTCTACTTCAAAGTCCAGGAGTAAATTGTGTTTGTTTATTTAAATAGTAGTAATATAAAAATATACTTCATTTAATCCCAAATATTCATACAATAAAAACTTGTGAGGATAGCAGAATGTCTTTCATCCATGAATATCTTCTGTACTTTAACTGTTTGAGATAATCATAGGATAGTCCTTTAATGGCAAGATTAGTTAATATATCACTTCTACGATAGCATTTATAGCTCAATAGTCTTTGCTTATTTGTTATTTATATTTTAGCTAATGTTGTCATAGATGAGATGTAATGGATGACATTACAGATTAAATGGAATTAGGCATCTTCTAAAGGCTTGCATTGCTGAACAGTTCTGAGACTATAAACTCCATAAAGATGAAAGTTAAGGTTGAGTAAGGCTGAAAATCAACATAGGGCATTCTTTGGAAATGTTTGCTTTCAAGCATCAATTAGGCGCAATGATCTGTTTCTAAAATATTTTATTTTATAAGCAAACTCTTTGTGTTTGCTTGGTTCTTACAATTCTTACAAACTTTCTGGCAGTGCCTACTGGTGGTGTGTGAAATGACATGCTACTGTCATCTGGAAGAGACAGATGATAGGGACAGCTTGACACTTCCGAGCACTTTCAGCCAACGGAGCAAAGATCTCTAGGATAACTCTCCATCAGAATGTTTTGAACTGCATTTTTGGTCCAATGAGCAAGGCTTAATCTGGTCTAAAATAACCTTCGAATGACATCTAATGGAAGATGTAAAGAGCATTGGCATTGAATGGTTTAATCTACTAATCTGCTCTAATTCACCTCACTATCTGCTTTGTGAACCATATATTTGACACAGTGTGTGCTCACATTCATGTTTCATGTTACTATTTCACATGATACTATGTTTATTTTTGTCAATGTGTGTAGTAAGAAGAAGATTGGTAATCTCTCAAAGAACAGCAGATTGTCTCCGACTGACAGCTGTGTATGTTGCTTTCTGCTTTTGTTTATCATCTTTGTAATGGAAAAAATGTGAAATAAAATAAAAAATATAAAAAAAATAAAATAAAATAAAATAAAATAAAATAAAATAAAATAAAATAAAATAAAATAAAATAAAATAAAATAAAATAAAATAAAATAAAATAAAATAAAATGTTTAAAAGCATAGCAAACTTTGAGGTCTTAAAAATATGGTATGGAATTTGGTCTCGCCTTCATAGTTTAACTGATTTCTTCTCTTCACTGGAAGACTCCAGGTAAAGTGTTAAACTGTTATATGAAACAGAAAGTGATCTTTTGTTAGGGTGTTTTTCTTCTACATGTTGTGATCTGTAAGGTCTGAGGCAAATAACTTTGGTTTTTTTAGCATCTAGGCCTTGAATTGATTTTTCAATAATCTCTCAGGAAAGCAGGCCTGGAAAACAAGTATTTTATATTAAATATTAAAGTACACAGAGTGATAACAGTAAGTGGTTTGTTATTTTTTTCCTAAACAGCTAAGACATAGAGAATCTCACATACTGTAATATTCCCAGCCAGTGACTGCAGCAACTGGAGGAAACTTAAACAAATGGTTATTATTAATTTCAAACTCAGTTTCCCTTCTGTAAAGATGAAGTTTACTGACTTGCTTAATGCTTCATCATTCAGCATGAAAGCTTTAAATGAATGCATAATTTTCCTGTGAATATGACAAACAGTCCGGACACTCCTTTTAGCACAATGGGTTGGCAGAAGAGATGACTGTGAACTAGCTTTGGCTCTGAAAAATTAACTAAAGCTAAAATTTTGCATACGAATATATTCGGTATCCAGTTTTCACCTGTGTTTTTCTGAGGTGGAGAGATGAAGAAAAACAGTCCGTGTTTTGCACACAATGTCCCACAAGATTCCATTTGTCCTTCTCCTTTAAGTGGTAATGATCTTCGCTGTTACACCTGTATGCTATGTAAAAGCTCTGCAAGATCTTTGGAAAAAAAATATCTTTGGAAATTCAGTATCTTTAAGCAAAAATCTGTTACTTATTTGGACCTTGTCCTGTTTTCTGGAAATGAAGGCTTAAAAGTATGTGTGGCCATCACTGCAGGCTATGTTTAAGTACTAAGAAGCCATCCCTCAATCTTGAACCTATTTTCCCAGCAACTTAAATGATTTGTATAGGTGATAAGAGTTAATGTTAGGTATGTTCAAAATTCAAGAAGTGAAATATACTCTAGGAAATACTTCTATTATTTGCTGAACTTCGGTTGATGACAATTTGTGTGTGTGTGTGTGTGTGTGTGTGTGTGTGTGTGTGTGTGTGTGTGTGTGTGTTGGAAAGAATAGGTTAATAAATGAGGTTAAATTTCTGGTATATGGTCTCCACACAAGCTAGAAATCTTTATTTTCTTCCTTCACTTGGATTTACTCACATGGGGTAGAACTGGGCAAATTTAGGAGATAGACAAACAAATTGCAGGGAATGCTTGAAGCACTGGTGCTAGCATTTAATATGTGCTCCCTGTAAGTAAGGCGTATGTTATTGATTAAAATACCATTTACTCAAGCTAACACTAGGAGGAAAGGGGACAGATAATTTTATGTCCCTTCTGATGCTGCTCACTGTGCAGCATTGTAAAATAAAATCTCTTCATTATTGCTGCTGTTAAACAAAAATATGTTCACATGAGAACATGCTGCTTCACTGTAAAATAATGACAAGACCTCTCTGGTAGCCAGGGCCAAGAGGGCTACAGACAAGCTCCTCCATTAGGATTAGCTGGCAAAGTTTGTCCTGCAGCCAAGGGTTATGTGCAACACAACCCAGCCTTTAGGACCAAATTTTATGTGCAGCACAGCACAGGCCTCAGGTCAACTGTTAAATGGATTGCTAACTTTGTGATGTGCAATAGGCTTCCAGTTCAGATCACTTCTGGGTTTGGAGTACATGAAGGAGTGAACCATTGACTGCTTTGACTAAAGAATCTGTAGACTGAATTCTTATTTTTATGTGTATGAATTTGATAAATCTCAGCATATGGTGCTAGAAGCTGGTGCTTGCAGTGTCAGCATGTCGTGCATGTGCATTCTCATATGCAGGTGTACGTATATGTCCATCAAGGTAAACATAAATGCCATGTAAATATACCTATATAGATACTAATCTCTTTTCTCACCTTTGTGTTTGTGTTTTTTACATTTCTAAGTGTATTTAGTTATCCAGAGTTTTTAGTTGATTTGTTCATCTGTTCCATCCACTAGTCAAAATGTTGTGTTTTGTGTTTTGTTTTGTTGTGTGTGTTTTTTTTTTTGTTTGTTTGTTTTTTATTTTTAGAAATCTAGTTTATGAATAATAGAGTCATAGAGTCATAGAATCATTAGGGTTGGAAAAGACCTTCAAGATCGTGTGGTCCAACCATCCCCCTACCACCAATAACACCCACTAAATCATGTCCCTAAGCACCATGTCCAACCTTTCCATGAACACCCACAGGGTGACTCAGGCTCCTTTGCTGTTTAATTAAGAGATTTTGGAGAAGATGTGAATACATAACATACCTATTTGGAGTATATTGACACTAAATGTGTGAGCTCAACTGAAGTTCAGAAAAGAAATAAATTAAGCATTTTTCTATGTTGATTTGGTGATTTGGATAATTTACCTAATGTTGCGTACCTTCCAAACCCATCTTCATCTTTATTTTATTTCAAGGTGCTCAGTGTAGTTCTGGTCTACAATTTGGGGGGCTTCAGTGGCTTAAGGATCTCTACAAATAATTAAACAGAGAATTCCAGTAATAAATGTCTTTCATTAGAAAAACAAAGAAAAAAGAGGAAAGAAAAAAAGAAATAGTTGTTACTCCTTTTCAAGTTTAATTCTTTTATTAAATAGTTCCATTTTCTAGTATGGAAAAAAAAAAAAAAAGAAGAAAAGAAAAAAAAAAACACACACAATGGTTTCACAGTGGACTGGTAGAATTTTAAGGCTGGAGACCACCATGATTGACTTTTCTGACATTCTGAATAACACAGAGCAAAAACTTCAGCCAGTAGCAGAAGTACACATTCATAGAATCAAATATTATATTAGCTTGAGTATTAAATTATTATACTCTAATTAATGTTTAAGCACATAATAGTATTAATTGGATTCTTTATTCCAGAGAGATTAACTCATCACCACTGCTCTAGTTAAGTAGAAGAGGAAAGTGTTGTGGATAAATGACATTTTCCCAGACCTAAGAAAAAGACTTTGATAGTTTTATAGTATCTATTCTTTACCACTGAGAACGTTAAAATTGTTGCATGCATTTTTCAGAAGAGAATCACTAAAATGAATACTGAAATGAAGATGTTCTCATTCCAGAAGGTATGAAGTAACACAAGAAAAAATGATGAGGAAAGAATGTGTTCCTTCAGTAGACTCTTACATGATTGTCTTACAGAGGAGCTTTATCTCTGTGCGAATGTGTGAAGATCAGAACGGTTACTGTAAAAAAAAAAAAAAAAAAAAAAAAAAAAAAAAAAACCTCTAAACCTCTGAATTTAAAGCGTGTTGTTTTTGGAAAATATGTAAAAATCATATTTCTTCAATAATAAATATTAAAGAAGAAGCAAAATTGGTCTCTGGTTGACCTATGTGCCTGGTTTGTGGTTTTGCTCTCAGTGAGATCATTATTAAACAGTACTAGTACATTTCCCATCTTTCTGTCTCTAAGATGCCAGCAATGGAGCTTTCAGACCATATTCATGACATCAGTGACTTCTTTTCGAGGACTAAAAATGGGAAGAAAAGAATTCTGTACACATAGGGAGGAAAATGATATTTATGAAAGGGAATAGCATATAATTTTTCCTCTGGTCAGAAGATTCCCTTAACAGTGAATATTCATAAATTTGTAGTCAATTTTTCTTGAAGATAGCCTAATTTGTAGTCAATTCTTCTTGAAGATAGCCTAATGGCAAGTTTTGGTTAGGGAGGATCAGCAATGTTCTTCAGGTAAGAGAAAAGAAGAACTCATCACATTTGCCCACAGGTAAATATCACAGAATCACAGAATCACAGAATTTCTAGGTTGGAAGAGACCTCAAGATCATCGAGTCCAACCTCTAACCTAACACGAACAGTCCCCACTAAACCATATCCCTAAGCTCTACATCTAAACGTCTTTTGAAGACTTCCAGGGATGGTGACTCTACCACTTCCTTGGGCAGCCTGTTCCAATGCCTAACAATCCCCTCTCAGTAAAGAAGTTCTTCCTAATACCCAACCTAAAACTCCCCTGGCGCAACTTTAGCCCGTTCCCCCTCGTCCTGTCACCAGGCACGTGGGAGAACAGGCCAACCCCCACCTCGCTACAGCCTCCTTTGAGGTACCTGTAGAGAGCGATAAGGTCGCCCCTGAGCCTCCTCTTCTCCAGGCTGAACAAGCCCAGCTCCCTCAGCCGCTCCTCGTAGGACTTGTTCTCCAGGCCCCTCACCAGCTTCGTCGCCCTTCTCTGGACTCGCTCAAGCACCTCGATGTCCTTCTTGTAGCGAGGGGCCCAAAACTGAACACAGTACTCGAGGTGCGGCCTCACCAGAGCCGAGTACAGGGGGACGATCACCTCCCTAGCCCTGCTGGTCACACTGTTTCTGATACAAGCCAGGATGCCGTTGGCCTTCTTGGCCACCTGAGCACACTGCTGGCTCATATTCAGCCGACTGTCCACCATCACTCCCAGGTCCTTCTCTGCCTGGCAGCTCTGCAACCACTCATCTCCCAGCCTGTAGTTCTGCTTGGGGTTATTGCGCCCCAGGTGCAGGACCCGGCACTTGGCCTTGTTGAACTTCATGCAGTTGACCTCAGCCCATCGGTGCAGCCTATCCAGATCCTCCTGCAGAGCCTTCCTACCCTCGAGCAGATCGACACACGCACCTAACTTGGTGTCATCTGCAAACTTACTGAGGGTGCACTCAATGCCCTCATCCAGATCATTGATGAAGATGTTGAAGAGGACCAGCCCCAGCACCGAGCCCTGGGGGACGCCACTAGTGACTGG